TGTTTAATTGTATCAAAGCAATTTCAACCATCTATTACAGCGACTGTAGAGGCTAATTTAGTTTAAATTCAACTGCGTTGAACAGTAGTAGGTATATTGGTTTTCGTAACTGGAATATAATCAGCCTCACAGGTAAACTATCCTCTAGGCTATGCTAAACGAAACAAATCCGCCGTCTTTTAGGCATAATATGATGTTTCAGTCTGATCTGGTGTAGGAAATGTGTTGTACTGATTGAAAAAAACCTTTGTAGGAGACGAAAAAAATAACACTAAATGAATCATATTTCAATAAATAATCAACATACATTTTCAAGTCATCTTTTCGCAACCGTATGAATTGTTCTTTATTTGTTTCTGTATGGAACGCCAACACTGTCTTGTTATGACCATTTTCATTATATGATTTGCATTTACCTTTATATGATGTGCAATTGTCATTATATGATGTGCAAACACCTTTATATGATGTGCAAACATCCTTATATGATGTGCAAACATCATTATATGATGTGCAAGCATCATTATATGATGTGCATATATACTTATATGATGTGCAAACATACTTATATGATGTGCATATATACTTATATGATGTGCTTATATACTTATATGATGTGCAAATATACTTATATGATGTGCAAATGTACTTATATGATGTGCGAATGTACTTATATGATGTGCAAACATTCTTATATGATGTGCAAACATTCTTATATGATGTGCAAATGTACTTATATTATGTGCAAAGATCCTTATATGATGTGCAAATATACTTATATGATGTGCAGATATACTTATATGATGTGTACATATCATTATATGATGTGCAGTTACCATTATATTATGTCCAAATATCTTTATATGCTGTGGTTGTGTCATTAAATTATGTGCTTGTAATCTTATATGATGTGGTTTGGTTTACTTCATTTTATGATGTCGAAACGTCATTATATGATGTGCTTTCATCGTCGTTATGGTCAATGAACATGATTACGATTAGAATGATTACTGTCTACGTCATAACTGATTCCGATCTGCTTCTGTAAACTATAAACCCAGCTCAAATATGTGTCTATCGCTAGCGAGAGTGCAATTAATAGGAAAAATGAGACAATGCAATTTAACAAAATCAACGTTTCAAACATTTCGGAGGGAGATTAAGATCAATTAATACAGGACCTAATTGGAGAAATTTGCAGCTGTGGCGAAAATATGATAAAACAAATTTTGAGGCTCTTTATAGCTTGCTATTTAGGTTAATCAAATGCTACGTGTTGAAGGTCGTACTTTGACCTATGATTGTTTACTCTTACAAATTATGACTTGGATGGAGAGTTTTCTCATTGGCTCTCATACCACATCTTCTTATTTCTATTCATTGCAAAATGCACCATTGAACTCACAGTCAGTTTTAAAAATATTTCACAACAATAGCTATAAAATTATCTACTCGTGCATAATATGGCGAGATTGTTTGTTTTATAAAATGTTATTGAATAATATAAATGTTAAGATGTATAATGTAGTTTTACTCCTACAAAACCATACAAAGTCGGAAATATTTGTGATATGACGTATACATGTAGTGTATTGTACTCCCTTAATTTGTCTTTGAAACAATCTTTTTTCCACAGAAAAAGCCAAAATATTCAAATGTGGAGACCGCATGCTTAGTCCACGTACTGCCTGCGAAATGCGAAATGGTCAGGTTGGGTAATGTTCACATATTTGTATATACAGATTGTTTATTTTAATGGAGATTTTTTTAATTGCTAATAAAATTCTGCAACTTGAGTATGACAACAGATTTGGAGTGGCGTCAACGGTTTCTGAAATACAGAGGGGTTGATTCCTGGTGAAGTGTTTTGGATTTTATTTTTTCATCCGATTAGATGGGATTTTTTTCATTGTATACTCATTTTGATCCTTTTCGGTAATGTGTTCTTTTTTATTAAAGTCCATCAAGGAAATACACGTGCTTCTACCCACACTACAGTCGGTGTCTAACAAATGATTAATATATAATTGTACAGATCATCTGTCTAAGCTTTGGTTACAAGGATCTGACAACACTTCGTTTTACTTTCTGTCCTGGTTAATATTACATCAGCCAATAAAATTTCAGCCTTCATATTTTTGAAGGTGTGGATCAATCCGACAAAACCAGAGAATCCCAATGGTCTTGAATTGAGCGTTTTCAGATCGGCGTAAGCAAAGCTTGAACACACAATACCTGTAATCTAATCAGATTGGTGTCTAAATGAACTTAAACACTGCATTTATTTATTGTTTACTGAGACCTGTTGTTCTCTTACAGATAGAGAGTTGTATTTTGAATTTTTCAAAGTGAAGATTTACGGCAGCGGCTTTTAATATTTTGCGTTTATCCTGGAAACTATAATAGATTTAAAAAAAAATTAGTGCAATGTGTCTGAGTAAACTCTATAGTAAAGGTCCTTTTTGGGCAATTTTGGCTCTTCAGAGTTTTGTTGTTTTATTGGCTATTATCTTGATAACTTATCTATAGAGAAACCTTTTCTTGAAAACTGGTATAGACAAGAACAGATATAATCAAAGTAGTGAAGTACTGATCATCGGATGACCGCAAATTCTTGTGGATTGTCACAAGCACTTGTCCCAGAAAAAAATCATATCTGTACCTGAAAGTAAAGTTAATGTACAGAGATATATTTTTTTTCTGAGACAAGTTCGTGCGTGGATGATGAATAAATGTTCGGGAATTCAACCTCACCGTAATAACTATTATATTGTTGTGGTACAAATTATATATTATTAATCTGTGATCTAAAAAAAAAAAATTTTACGAGTATTCATTGAAGAAATAAACTTATAAATCGGTTACCAGTCAAAAACGAAAGCTACGTAAGTAGAAATCTCTTAGGTAACAATACATCGGAATGTTAAAATAAATAAATAAGTAATAATTATGGTAATTTTCTTTCTTTTGGGGTGGGGACGTGTGAGGAAACAGTGGAATTTCTCTTATTTTTTTTCAAGTCTACACCTTGAAGAAGGAAAAACAGTCAATAAATACCCCCTTTTCCAAAGACCTATAAATTTCACCCCCCCCCCCCCCCTTCTTCCCAATTAAGTTTCTAAATGCATTATAAGTTTAAAATATTGCGTCAGTAGTGAATCTAGAACTTCAAGTGTGGAAGTTGTTTGCGACTTCACGAACTTAATTTGGATTTGCCGGTTATGATCTCATTAATATTTACCACACCTTCATTCGATATTAGCTTCAGATGAAAAATTTTCTGCTAGTGAAATTGTTGAAACTAAGGATTCAGGTTTTAACAATTGAGGCGAGCGGAACCAGGCGTAAAAATTGATGCCTACGGATTTTGAAGACATCGCCATAACATTATACCGCAAATCTATAACTATATAAAATTGAATCCACCTTTTATTTCTTCCTATCCCTCTTTTTGGGGTTACAAATGACTGGTCCCTTATATAAGCCATTACCCTATCAAAGTCCGATTTAATTTTTTTCCCATTCTTTTGTGTCTATCTTGAGAATATATAAAGAGAAACTCGAACAACTAAAATAATCAGCAAGGCAAAATTTACATTAATGTACATACTAGATATTCGTGTATTAACTTCTTATAGATTATTTTTTTTATGGTGTACAGAAATTGACAAATATAATGCCCTCCCTTGTTAAAATGAGCATAGAGCATGAAATAAAAGAATTATGTCTTAAATTTAATAATTTTAACCGTATGTTCATTATTGCAGACTCCGTATGTTTATTATTTTAGACCAGTCGATTAAAACAAAACGTTGCAATTCATATATTTTGACATTTTTCCAACAATATCAGGTGTGATTTTTTACATCTTAAAACGAGGTACTAATATATGCCAAGGTTTATCTCTTTTTAAATCTCAACCATTTTCCAAACGACAGCTAAAAATTTGAGCCTGATTTATTGTTACTCCGCAGAAGCAGATCGGAATCAGTTCTGACGTAGTGAGTAATCGCTTTAATCGTAATCATGTTCATTGACCATCAGGACGATGAATGCACATCATCATAATGATGTTTCAACATCATGATAATGATGTTCTGACATCATATAAGGATGTAAACCGAACCACACCATATAACGATGTTAGCACATAACATAAGGATAAGTTCACATCATATAAAGAAGTTTGCACATAATATAAAGACATCTGTACATGATATAAGATAATTTGCACATCATATAAGACCATTTGCACATCATATAAGATAATTTGCACATCATATAATATAATTTGCACATCATATAATATAATTTGCACATCAGATAATGTCAAATTGTCATCATATAAAGGTGATTGCATATCGTATAAAGGTGATTGTACATCACATAATGCCGTTTCTACATCGTATAAGGAAAGCATCACATAATATAAGGACTCAATCACATAACATAATGGAAAAAGCACATCATTTAATGAATTTTGGACATGATATAAAGATGTTTGCACCTCATATAAATGTGTTTGGACAGCATATAAGGACAACTTCACATCATATAATGCCAAGTGTACATCATATAAGGACAAGTTCACATCACATAATGACAAGTGTACATCATATAAGGATAAGTGCACATCATATAATGTCATTTGCACATCATATAAGGGTAGAATGACATCATATAATGGCAAATGAACATCATATAATGAGAAATGTCATAATAAGACAGTGTCGGCGTTCCATATTTCTTCCTTCTGTCTTTTTCTTGTTGGCTTTACTTATGGTTTGTCCTGCATATTGACCAAAGGAATGAAGGAAAGCAGTAATAAAATCCAAACTAATCAATCAAAATGAAATGTATAAAGTATGAACATTTGAATGTGTTAACCTGCACCTGCGCCAACTGTACCTTTCTATACCTTTCCGACAAACAAAGGTGTCTATATGGTTTCATATGCAAGATGGAAACTCGGATCTTATAATTGACAAAGACTACAGAAATTCGTAAAGAAAATATTTTATATAAATGTATTTTCACACAGATAAAAATGTACAATAAATGTTATGAGATCATGATGTGAAACTGACTTGTAACAAAAACAATTATATCAATCAACTTACATGTGATTCACATTTTATAATCATTTACACCCTTCTATATGAACAATGTTTACTTACGGTTTCTTAAAAACCATAAAGGATTTTTTACATAATATATATACTCTTTATCCTCCATTGAATGTTGTATAATAATTTACAACATGATTTTCTACATGCGTGCTCATTCTTAAATCTAACTACAATTTTACTACATTAATTTCATAAATCAATGATTTAAAAAATATTTTGTATATATCACACGCTACTCAATTTTTCAAATAATGCATACAATATCACAAAAGATTGATCCTTTACACAAATGAACATTGAATAAATCATCAATGTTGTTGTAATATATGTGTTGCGTTTATACTGCATCGTTTCTAGGACATGTTCGACAAATTGCCCATCCTTAGAATTCATTATTGCTAAAATCTGGTTATAAAAGGAAACTATAAGTTATGTCTCTTCTGGATTATATATCTACAAAAATATATCTGGAATACAGGCTTATTGCATTAATACTTGTGAATGTTATAATTAAAGAAGAATATTTCACCAGTAAGTACAACCACTATTCGAATGACAGAAGTCACCAATGTTCGTTCACTAAGCCTTTGATTGTAGGATTAAACTTTTAAAATAAAAAAACATTCATCTTAGATCTGTTTTACTACAACATCGCCATTTGCGAGCGATATTGCTTTGTGCGCAATACCGGGATATAGTTTACCTTTATCTTTTTAAATGTTAAGTCTATATTGCTTTAAATTTATGAAAAAGATTATTTATCTAACATTTTCTCGTGTATCCAAAAGATTACTGATATGTTCCTTGTACAATTGTCACAAAGTACATAGAGCACCATTTTTGAAATCAGCTTGCCTTTCTAAAAGACAATTTCACTAACGGAAAACATCACTAATTTTATTACATGTATATATTATACTAAATTTCCTGTGTATGACGAACTTCTCTTCGTCTTCCCTGAACGCTCAAACATTTTGGATAGCCGATTAACCTGTTCCTGTTCTAAATTGTCTTTAATTGCATCTGTTTGGCACTTATATTCTAGTTCTAGGTAACGTTCTAACTAAAGTAAACGTAGGGAACATTTTTAAACAAATAAAGGCTTGTTCCACTTTCGACTAAATCTAGTACCAAACTAGATGGGATAGTAAATGCCAAAACTGCCATTTGTACACGTCATCAAGCGAAAGTTATCTTAGACTGTCTTTCAGCTTATTGTATTGCACCACATAAACAAATGACATAAGTAAATGCAATTATCGTTCTTTGAACAATCATTTCGAAACTGTCATGCAATATATTTTCTTCATAGCTTTATTTCTTCATAATAAAAAGAAACAAATGTACGTCATTTGCTATGGTAAACAGTTGTTTTGTGCAGAAAAGGGTAGATATTGAAAACCTTGGTTTTCTGGCAGACACCAGTTTCTCTGTAAATAGTCCATTTCTGTACTGTAGCCCGAGTATAATTGAAGATTGCCATTCATAGAATTAAATCCATAGTGATCCTGTGTTGTTCCTATACACGACTGTGCACTGTATACTGGGGGAGGGGACGATTCAATAAAGTTTCTGTAGTCACTACTTGTACATTCGCTTGAGTTTTCCTCATCACATAAATATCTGTTTGCTCGCAGTAACAATCTGAAATTAAACTTGTAGGTATACCTTTTTCCTTGGACTTTTGTCAGAAACATTTTGTCGTAATAATATCTGAGAGCTCGGCTTAGCTTGTCGTAATTCATGTTTGGTTTATTTTTACGTCGTCCCCACCGACGTGCGACCTCCTCTGGATTTGTCATTCGGAACTCTCCAGTACATCCTTCCCATTTGATACAGCAAGAGTTCTTAGTGTCTGTAAGAAGTTCGAGTAAAAACTGCCATAACTGAACTTGACCACTGCCTATAAAACCAATAATTAATAATAAAATGAATATTAATTACTTAAACAGTATGATTATACTTAAAAGTGTTAATGCTCTATGTGTGTATAGCTTTGATCAAATTTGTAGTTTTAAATTAATTAACATAAATAACCTAGGCAATATTTCTTTAAACAAATTTAGTGTATTTATGGCTGAGAAAAAATGAACCACAGACAGAGCTAATGAAGTGATTGTCCATTGGATTTTTTATCAATTGTCGGTTTTCTTGCAAAAGATCGATGGTTCTCTCCATACTGACCACCACAAATTAGCCAACAGTGCTGAAAGTGGCATTAAAAATCGTGAAAAATCAACCAGTCAATCAACATTGAGTATACTTAGCTGTTACATTCAGTTGAATAAAGTAAAATAACAAATATATATATAGACACTCTAAAGACAAAGCACATAAGCAAAAATGAAAGACAAGAATACAAAAAATGACCATAGCACAATAACACAATGGCGGGATGTATAAATACCGAGCCACGCCAAAAGGATATTACCAAAAATGGACTAAACAGTAAAGGTTAAAAATATACGAAGACACATAAAAAGAGCACTATAACACGTAATTTAGATGATAAACAACGTCAGTACCTAGAATCTATACTTCAAGATCATCATGTATTATTTGTGAAGTTGATACTAAATATTTATCAACAAGGTCTAGGTATCTTCCGATAAACTTTTGTTTAGAAAAAGGACGAGACGTTCTTTGACAGAACACTGGTTCATCAACTTTGGTGACGTTTTATAAAGTCTGAGTTGCAGCTGCAAGCTCTTGAATACCGAATGAGTTGGGAAATGTTTATCCCATATGCAGGTGAAGTTGGTATATTGCTGCTAAGGTCGGGGGAATTTATAATGTCAAAATTAAAATTGTGACGTTTGTCATATATTCTGGTACTGAGAGGACCGCTTATGTCAAATTCGAGTTATAAGTCTAAAAATGAGGCGGTGGAAGCCGTGTCTGTTTGAGTAGCTCACCAAGTCCGTGTTTAAGAAAAAGTGTTAACTAGTAAATTATGTTTTATCATCGGGTTTATAGAAAACAAATTGTAAGCAGAGGGTCTTGGGGAGGCGGCCCCCCTCCCTTTCATAAGCTGAACGATTATAGTAAAATTCTTATTGAAAAATTATGTTTTATAAAATTATTTGTAAGCACATGCTTACAATGCTACACTGGTGCTACGCCACTGGGGTATAATCTCATAACGAATAAATATCTAAACAGTTGTTTAGATATGGTTAAATATCCGAACAGGAATGCTCATTGATGAAGGCCGAACTGTTCCCAATAGTTGTTTACATTCGACCTTCGGTCTCTGGTAGAAAGTCTCATTGGTATTCATACCGCACCTCTTTATCTTTATGATGGTGCATGAAAAAACTTATCGGCATAATAAGATTATATTGTCTCAAAATTATACCAGTCTACATATTTTCTAATTCATCCAGCAACTCTTAAATTATTCGATTGCCATGATTGTAGAAATTAATGAATTATTATGTAAATACTATCATACAAATATTGGAAACTGTAGTACATAGTCACTGAAAAAAATCAACAGACGGTTGCAAAACAAGTTTATACCCCAAAAATAAACATAATACTAGTACTTGGTACCCGCCCAAATATATGAACACAATTGTGTAGTGCGCACTTACGTTCCGAGGTAAAATTTATACAACAAAACTTTGTAGAAATAAATTAAATAGTTTGAAATTTTAAAAGCATATGTTCTTCAAATATTGTTAAAATGAGTTTTTATCTCTTTAGAAAATTTTTAATTTTGAATTTCCACTTTCTTCATTGAGTTTTTTTTTAAAGTAGTAGCATAGACTGATTTATACGGAAGCCGATAAGGGCCATTCAAAAAAAAAAATTATGTCGTAATTACGACATAGCATGTCGTAATTTCGACATAACATGTCGTTATAACGACATCGCTATGTCGTAATTTCGACATAACATGTCGTTATAACGACATCGCTATGTCGTAATTTCGACATAACATGTCGTTATTACGACATCACTATGTCGTAATAACGACATAGCTATGTCGTAATAACGACATCGCTATATATATATAAGAATATGTATTATGATTGCCAAAAGACTTAATGACACAGAAATTAACAACCATAGGTCATCAGAATGCCCTCAACAATGAGAAAAGCCCCCGCATAGTCAGCTATAAAAGAGGGACGAAAGATACCAGAGGGAGAGTCCCCGAAATACGGAAGCCGATAAGGGCCATTCAAAAAAAAAATTATGTCGTAATTACGACATAGCATGTCGTAATTTCGACATAACATGTCGTTATAACGACATCGCTATGTCGTAATTTCGACATAACATGTCGTTATAACGACATCGCTATGTCGTAATTTCGACATAACATGTCGTTATTACGACATCACTATGTCGTAATAACGACATAGCTATGTCGTAATAACGACATCGCTATATATATATAAGAATATGTATTATGATTGCCAAAAGACTTAATGACATAGAAATTAACAACCATAGGTCATCAGAATGCCCTCAACAATGAGAAAAGCACCCGCATAGTCAGCTATAAAAGAGGGACGAAAGATACCAGAGGGAGAGTCCCCGAAATGACAGCTGTTTAATAATTTAATTCAAACGAGTGAAAATAACGGTTTTAATAATGTACAAACAAAGACCGAAAAACGAATATGTAACACAGCAACAAATGACAACCACTGAATTACAGACTCCTGACCGCTATGTGATAATAACGGCAACCTTATAGTTTAACTTTTCACTTTTTGATGCGATAGGCATTTCAAAATGGTTGTCAGTAAAGGCAAAGTTTGTAGCGGAAACAAATTCATCTTTTTTTTTAGAATAATGAACACTATATGCAATCAACTCAATTCAAGTTATTCACTTGCACCTCAGACTTGCACATACTAGAACTTTATTTATAATCAAGTCAAATGAGACCCAGTTGAATAGGGGAGCAATTCAAGCTCCTTGGAGCCTCTAATTATGTTTGACATGTACAGATTTGTGTAAATTATGAAGTCCTGCATTTCCATTGCAGGTTCTGAATAAGATGAATTTTAAGCTTTTCCCAATAAAGACTATGTTAAACTTTGGACTCATAGTGCTCAGACCCAAGAATCTCTGTACCTTCATTTGTACACACTTGAATCTTAATGTACAGTAACTACTGAGGCTTGATGCAAATTATTACTGCATTGCTATTGTTGGTTCTTAATGAGATTCTTCAAGCGTCCTCCCCATTGAAGCCCTATTAAAACTTTGTACCCCAAGTTCTTTTAACCACTGTTCCCCAGGGCAACTATTCCTACAAACTTAAGAGGAGGGTTAGGATCCCGCTAACATGTTTAACCCCGCCACATTCTTTATGTATGTGTATGTCCCAAGTCTTTAATTTACATATTTGTTTTTCGTTTATTTTTGTACATAAAATAGGCCACTAGTTTTTCTCGTTTGAATTGTATTACATTTGTCATTTCGGGGCCTTTTATAGCTGACTATGCGGTATGGGCTGTGATCATTGTTGAAGGCCGTACGGTGACTTTAATTGTAAATTTCTGTGTCATTTGGTTTCTTGTTGAGAGTTGCGTTTTTGAACAAACCAGCGTATCCCAAGGCCTTGATAACCTCTGTAGGCCCCAAATAAGACGAAAAAAAAACATCAAAATTGGAGAGAAAACTGAAAAAAATGGTTTCTAACCTCAGGGATATTAACCCTTGGCTATCTTAGATTTAATGCAATCAGTATGCATCAGCATCAGGGTACAGCTCATTTGCATTTCATTTGCATATTTTTACAAATACTCGAAATTTAGACAATTTCTGATAACAATTCAGCATGCCAAGGGTTAATATCCCTGAGGTTAGAAACCATTTATTTTCAGTTTTCTTTCCAATTTTGATGTTTTTTCGTCTTATTTGGGGCCTACAGAGGTTATCAAGGCTTTGGGATACGCTGGTTTGTTCAAAAACGCAACTCTCCACAAGAAACCAAATGACACAGAAATTAACAATTATAGGTCACCGTACGGCCTTCAACAATGACCACAGCCCATACCGCATAGTCAGCTATAAAAGGCCCCGAAATGACAAATGTAATACAATTCAAACGAGAAAAACTAGCGGCCTATTTTATGTACAAAAATAAACGAAAAACAAATATGTAAATTAAAGACTGGGGACAGACACATACATTAAGAATGTGGCGGGGTTAAACATGTTAGCGGGATCCCAACCCACCCTCTAAGTTTGTAGGAATAGTTGTCCTAGGGAACAGTGGTTAAAAGAACTTGGGGTATAAAGTTTTAATAGGGCTTCAATGGGGAGGACGCTTGAAGAATTTCATTAAGAACCAACAATAGCAATGCAGTTATAATTTGCATCAAGCCTCAGTAGTACATTAAGATTCAAGTGTGTACAAATGAAGGTACAGAGATCCGTGGGTCTGAGCACTATGAGTCCAAAGTTTAACATAGTCTTTATTGGGAAAAGCTTAAAATTCATCTTATTCAGAACCTGCAATTCCATAAACATAATTAGAGGCTCCAGGGAGCTTGAATTGCTCCCCTATTCAACTGGGTCTCATTTGACTTGATTATAAATAAAGTTCTAGTATGTGCAAGTCTGAGGTGCTAGTGAATAACTTTAATTAAGCTTGATTGCATAAAGTGTTCAATATTCTCAAAAAAAAAATGAATTTGTTTACGATACAAACTTTGCCTTTACTGGCGACCATTTTGAAATTCCTATCGCTTCAAAAAGTGAAAAGTTAATCTATAAGGTTGTCGTTATTATCAGATAGCGGTCAGGAGTCTGTAATTCGGTGGTTGTCATTTGTTGCTGTGTTACATATTCGTGTTTCGGTCTTTGTTTGTACATTATTAAAACCGTTATTTTCACTCGTTTGAATTAAATTGTTAAACAGCTGTCATTTCGGGGACTCTCCCTCTGGTATCTTTCGTCCCTCTTTTATAGCTGACGATGCGGGGGCTTTTCTCATTATTGAGGGCATTATGATGACCTATAGTTGTTTATTTCTGTGTCATTTAGTCTCTTGGCAATCATAATACATATTCTTTTATATATTTAGCGATGTCGTTATTACGACATAGCTATGTCGTAATAACGACTTTTTATGTCGAAACTACGACATAGCGATGTCGTTATAACGACATATTATGTCGAAATTACGACATAGCGATGTCGTTATAACGACATGTTATGTCAAAATTACGACATAGCGATGTCGTTATAACGACATAGCGATGTCGTTATAACGACATGTTATGTCGAAATTACGACATAGTGATGTCGTTATTACGACATGTTATGTCGTAATTACGACATAAAAAATTTTTTTTGAATGGCCCTTATCGGCTTCCGTAGATTTAATATCAAGATATCACTATTTCTTTTTTTGTAGATGAAACAAAAAATCTGTATCGCGCATGTTGATGCTCATAAGTACCTGACCTTAAATGAATACCTTTCAATGAAAACCCCAACACAATTGAACATGTATAACATTTTTTTTTCTATTTCAAGAGAATATCTCCGTCATAATGATAAAGGGTTGACGTCACAAACATACCTGCTAATAACGATGCTAATTGTTGCAAATTTTCTTTCGCGCTTGTTCCGTCAATCGATTCTGGATTATCTGAAAGTGTTAATAGATTGTCATACAGATATCACTCAGATGTAAAAGAAAACGAAAGACCAAATACAAAAACAAAACAAGTACATGTACATGTACTTAGAAGTTAACTGATGTATGTTATTAGGGTTTTCTAAATGGTCAATAAAGGGAAGTTTCATTGTCAATTCCATTTGAATGAAAGGAAATGTTAGATATTTCTTTTCAATCAGACAACAATCCAACAACACAATGTAACAATGCAATAAATAAAAAACATCTATAGATGCTAAAAACATTAAAAGCTCTAAATCAACTCGAGTCAAGTTGTGTATAAATATCAAATTACAAATAATACGGTACTTGTTATGTTATCAATCAATCGATATGCATGCCGCACTTACTTCAGGAAAATTACGCACTTTTTTAAATTATTACGTTTTTCATTTTAATTCATTTTATTTTGTTCGTTTGTTTTTTCTACTTCTGGGTTTTTTTGTTGTTTTTTGGGGGGAAGGGATGCTTTCTCTCTTTAGAATTTTCATTGTTGGCTATCTGTGTTTTTATATACATGTATTATATATATTATGATTATATGCACCATTTGATTTTTTTTTAAAACTAAATCGTGTAAGCAGATGTAATATCAAAGATGAAAAAGTGTAATTGTGCAAAAAAGCTTACCACTGGAAGGTGTAATTTGTTTATCAGAACCAATACATTCCATGATATCAGTGAGTATACTAGATTGATCTTCCTGATCTACACTATTGCTTCCACCAGACAGTGACCGTGATCTTTGCATATGTTCCTCATATGTTGGTGGTGTTTTTCTGTGATTTGCCATTGTATCCTCGATGCCTGTTTGTAACAACGGTGGCAGGTACGGTAATTGAAGGTTGACACAGCTATCTCCTCGTTTCTCAATACTACTTATCATTTTGTCTGTAAAATGATAGCAATAATTAGAGCACCAAAATTGAGTAGAATCTGCGATAATCGTGAAGATAAAAAAAATCCAAATATTATGAGCAGTAATTATTTTTGATTTTCAAATTACTATACTCCAAGACCAAAATTGTCCCAACATTTACATTACGTACATGACAGATTTAGACAAGGACACAATATCGTTGAAAACAATAGAATTAAAATTTAAGAAAACCCGGTATTAATGTTAAGCTGTTACGTCAAGCAAGAAGATGAAAGATTTGGTTTTTATTAAACTGCAAGCCTTTTTTATATATAGCCAGCTTCTACGTAATCGGTTGTTTGTAAATACAAAAGGTTCGTCTTGGAAAATCTATTATAATTTATTCATGGCTTAATATAGGTGTTAAAATAGGACAAGCAAAAGTACACCAGCAACAGTGTGTAGGTAGAATTATATATAAACAACCAAGAAAAGTGCATGTATAATCACATCCTCTGTCAACAGCTGTGTACTTGTGTCTGAGTTTTTATCTAGGCTCAGATATACACTCGGCCTAGATAAATGCACCTGTGAAAAATTAGACGTCATTTCGCTTCAATACACCTCATTATTTTATTTTAAGGGTAAACGATTTACTGCATTATCTGTAGCAAACAATAGAAACCGCAAATGTGATCACAAATGTCAAAAAAGATATGACTGTGATAAGTCGGTGTTTGTGTTTATTGGTATAGGAAGACTGGAGCCGCCTATATCATACTTCAAATGGGTATTCTTCGGTGATTTTAAGGGTCCCAGAGTCGTTTAATGTATTCACGAATCGCAGTTTTTAAAATCTAAATATAGCTCAACTGGAAATCCAAAGCTATAGAATATATCGAGGGTTTCCCAAATCTTTAAGTGCAAATTTAAAAGCAATCCATTTAGGACAGACTGTACGGAATAACTTATATTTGCAAACAAAGCTTCTTTTTAGTTTTTAATTCAATAGATACTATCATATAATTATTCCTAATGTCTTATTGAAAATACACAAGAAAGCAGTCCAAAGACTGGAGTTGAGCATTTCTCATTTGAAGTCATGATTTTAAGACATCAAAAATTGCTATAAATGCTAAATTTTTTAAAAGATAGAAAGCCCTGTTTCGAAATAAAAATGATAGTACTGATGAAAAATATGAAAAAATTTAAATTATATGTTTTAACGCAGATAGATATCTCGTGACCTTGTAATTTTATGTTTATCTACTGGTTCTAATAGGGAATTTAAAATTCAATAAAGGGGTAATGGCAATAATGCCCTTATTTGGCCCAAATATTCGTGCAAATTAAAAAGTAACCTTATATTTCAATAATTTGTCCTAACTATATTAAGGTACAAGGTGTTTAAAAACTAAATAACAAGTTTCACATATAAAGAGTTATCATGGCAACTACCCTTGACAAAATCTGTTCATTTGTCAAATTTGATTTTCCGTGTTTTTTCATCAGTTTTTTATGTATAATAGTTTGGATTGGAAAAGTACATGCGCACCCAAGAATTAACTTTGTATTTGATGAGATTATAATATAGCTATGATAAAGTATACAGTATCTAAAACTATTTTGTTGTTTTTTGACTGCACACGATGTTTCCACGAAGGAAATATGGATGAAAGACTTCACAAGTTCATCAGTTTTCTTTGTTTTCATGAAAAAGGTGCATATAATGACGTAAGTGTGACGTGAGATCATAAAAAATCTTGTGTAATTCATTTTTTTGACCTTATGCATTTACAAACATAATGCGCAAATTTGAAATAGATCTCCAAAGTTTTATTTTCATGGGCAACAAACGGGCTTTAATGCAAAAAAAAAAACAATTCCAACAAGATATTGTCAAATCTTGCTACGGTCTAATAGCCTGGAATGGAAAAAACTTAGTGTTTCGAATAATCAACATTTTATGAATACAGATACTTGAACTACGTCCCGCATTTTGTTTTAAAAAAAGGAATAATTTTGAAATCCTTTTCACTTTGGTAAAATTTCTATAACTGTTGCAGTATCCGCCATAGTCATATAGGACTAGTACAACTAAATGGAAAATGAATAAAAAATAAGCTGATGTTAAGCAGAAGCATACAACCGTCAAGTGTAATCTGGGGGTAAGCAGATGCATACAACCGTCAAGTGTAATCTGGGGGTAAGCAAATGCATACAACCGTCAATTGTAATCTGGGGGTAAGCAGGTGCATACAACCGTCAAGTGTAATCTGGGGGTAAGCAGATGCATACAACCGTCAAGTGTAATCTGGGGGTAAGCAAATGCATACAACCGTCAAGTGTAATCTGGGTGTAAGCAGATGCATACAACCGTCAAGTATAATCTGGGGGTAAGCAGATGCATACAACCGTCAAGTGTAATCTCGGGGTAAGCAGATGCATACAACCGTCAAGTGTAATATGAGGGTAAGCAGAAGCATACAACCGTCAAGTGTAATCTGATGTTAAGCAGATGCATACAACCGTCAAGTGTAATCTGTCGACTGATTAAGTTATTTCTGGTAGATTACCTTTTTTTAAAAACACAGGCACTTTTCTATGAAATTATTGTTTTCCTTTTATAATACCTTAATATAACACATACCGGTAATAAGGTATATAGGGGAAAACAATTTCAGAGACAAGTGCCTGTGCTTTAAAAGCAACAGTATGTGTTGATGAAAAAGTAATCTATAGAAATTCGCGACGATTGTTTGATTTATTGTGTTTAACGCCACTTTCAGTAAACTTGACTATATCATTGCACACAGTTTTTTGTTGGTGGAGAATGCTGGAAAACCTATATATCGACCATCGGCAGGAAAACTGACAGTCCTAGTCAATTAAGACCTTGCCACGAGCGAGGTTCGAACTTGCAATCATAGTGTTGGCAGTCTAGAGGTCACTGTAGATGAACTACAGTCAAGTCAAGATGAAGATAAATCAATATTTTTTTTAGATAGCGTGTTTGCAAGCTGGTAATACTACGGGAAATTGAATACCACTTGTCCAAGAGGTCTATATATCGTTCGTCCTAAACATGCATGAAACATTTGCCACGTGACGTTAAGCAACCAACAATCAATAAATCCTATGATAAAATAATTTTTTTAACATCAAATCCTGGATCCGCGCCTGTATTTATAATGTGTTTACATATTCATTCAGAAATCCGACATATTATTTTAAAGACATCATAGTGTGATATCGTGATTTTGAGTAAATATATAAAACTTTATTTAAATGGGCCTATTTTGGAATTAATATAGGAAGAAGTGGTCTTATCCATTTTGTTTTTAGATATATGACATTCAATTATTGTGGTTAAATCATTTCTTTTCTTTTCCGTATTTTATTCCATTTATTTTTTTGCTTCCGTACTATTAGATGAATAATTAATTCAACATATATATCTCATAAACTACAGCCTTGAAAGGATACAGTGTTGAAGTTTATACAATTAACATTTAAATCAACACATTTCTATCATGCACATCCTGTTTCCTTACTCTAATTGAGATTATTTATATCATATTTTAGCGTTATATTTCTGAAAAACAGTACTATTAAAATAAAGAACATGTCTTTTCATTTACAACGAATAATTAATTTTGTGAAATAGATATACTGATATTTATGTACCCAGATAAAAGTACTGTAGCATTTATCAGTGGTACTAAGTGCAATAAAGTCATATTCTAATAATGATATTTCGACGATGAAATTCAAAATAACAGCATTTTCTTAAATGATGTCTTTCTCTATAGATAATGTTTTATTCATCAATTTTTTTGGAAAAAATTATAGGTTCTGGCGCTTCAGTTTTGGGGAAACAAGCATTTACTATCAAAAGTTATTATTGATATGCATTTGAGTGTGAAATGTTTGGGAAGAACATAATTTCATAATAAGAAAAATGTATCTATATGACATGGAAATGGATTGAAAATAAGGTAAACTCTATGTGGAAATTGTGTTATAATATTATAGTCTTATTAGTCATAAATACCCAGTCCAAAGGACTCCTTGCGCGTAGCAAACGACAAACTAGGATTTTACTTTGATAGGATTGGTATAGTCTGACTAGTCTACGCTTCAATACACAATTTTATTTAGGGGCCAGTTGAGGACCACCTTCGGGTGCGGGATTTTCTCTCTGCGTTGAAGACCCATTGGTGGCCTTCGGCTGTTATATGCTCGTTGGTCGGGTTGTTGTCTCTTTGGCATATTCCCCATTTCCATTCTCTATTTTACTGATATGTAAAAAGGTTTTCGTGAAGTTTTATTGTCACCCCTTTATTTTCATTATTATTGTTATTGTTCTGTAAACACAATGAGGATAGTTTTCTGTTTTTGATGTTGTTATCACAATATTTAGAAAAATGTGTTTATTTCTTTGTGAAAAAATGAAGAAAAACACAACAAAATATAGACCGTGGCAAACAACAATTCACAAAACACTCTCCTAAAACTAAAGAATTGAATAACACAAAACGCCAATAAATTCCAAAGGTGAATAAAGTTGGAAAGGAATGGTAAATGTCTTCCTAATGTCAGTTCATAAAGGTTTTGCCAGAATCATAGACTATAAGTGTAGTGTACACATTTTAAACTGTCTCTTCCTTGTGGTACGTTGGTGGTACATTTTAAAGAAATAAATGTTGACCATTTTTTCAGTCTGTATTCATGTTTAGAATGGGGAATATCGTTGTAAAGGTTTGGGGAAATCAAATGTCTTAATACTTTTTTTAAGAAGAGAGTGGCTTTTAATCAAACAGACGGATTTTTTTCAATTATATCGGCCCGGCTAGAAAAAGGAGTTTCTCCGTAACTTTAAAGCCTAAAAGAATATACATAAGTACTTGGAATGAGGTTTCGTTAAGCATTTGGCAAATTACTTTAAAACCGTTGTTTGTAAGGGCACTTGTTTGATGTGGGTACATGTATTATCTCTGCATTTTTCATTCCGTTATGGACAATTATTTTC